ATAGATTTTAAAATAAATATATACAGACCAAATTTTAATGTCATGTTCATTATTTTATATTATTACAGTATATTATTTTGTTCAAATATGAGATTTTCAGAACCATCCAAATTGACCAAAATGTGGCTGTATCAACATAAGAGAATCATATACATTATGCAAGTCTTTTGGCCACTCAGCAAGGGAAAATATATTGTTTAACTTAAAGGCCAACCCTCTGTTCAAGGGACTCCTAAAAGGAAATTTTTTTTTTTTGGTCTCAAACGTCTCCCCTGAATAGTTTATACTCAAAGTACCATACAGTACTTTGAAAGATTTTATGACCTTGTTGGATGATGTATGTTATGCTATGATCTCAGGTTGAAACTGTGGCTATCCGGGGGATATGCGAGTTCCAGCCCCTCTGACGTCCCCTTTGCAGAAAAAGAAGTAATAGCACAGGGAAACAGTCATTGCCAACTTGTGCATTTTAGCTCGGTAGTACTTTAGAATGTAACATAAACATAAAAGTAAATAAGAATTTCGGTGTGAATCACAGCAAGGATAACCCAGGAAGTCTGAAGACTTGTTTTGGAATCCTTCTGGTGGTGACTGGGCAGTACACCGGCAGACAATCCCCTACTCTTTGCCGAAGAGTGTACTGCGTTCTTTAACGTGCACATAGGCCATATTGCACACAGGACCAACGGCTTAAACATCTAATCTGAGAGACGGTGTGCTATCGTAACTTCTATTTCACCCCCGCGCCCCCTGGAAACTCAAGGAGAGAGATCTCCACGGTTCAGCGCACACACAGTGGCTACCACCAGATTAGCTGACTGAGCATTTCAAATGAGGCTGGTTTAGTTTCCCGGCAGCCCATATTTACTTTTCTCAGCATACATTACGTTAAATCGTAAAGCCATGATGGAATATCATTCGTCCCCGAAGGCTAAGTGCAGCGTACTTGAAGAACGCAGTCAATCAATCCGAAATCATTCAACAAGAAAATTTAATGCTCTGTTTATTTCATCATTCAGTTGATTAATTTAGAGACCATGATGAAATTATTTATGTGAAAATCGTCAAAACAACAATTACTATGATTTATGTGATACTGAAAAACAACTCAAAATTGCAGTAATAAAAAAATAAGCTTATGCAACAAAGTAATAAAGTTTAAATATTTATCATTTGGAACACCATTGAACATGAATCATGTGTTAATCGTTACGATTTGTTTGGTAATGCATGATCACTACCACAAAGAATGGTCTGATCATACTGGTAGCACCACTGTGTGTGTAATTAACCACGTCGATCTTTGACCTGGTTCTGTTCAATCAAGTTGCCCTCCCTATTAAATATACAGGTTTGTGCACCCCTTTTGGAAGAGAAACAACAAAAGCAGGGATTGTCTCCCAGACTGCTCAATTCATGAGGGATGGGGCTGGTCTATAACTATAGCTTGGGCCCCCAGATTCCAAGCCCAAATTTCTCAGTTACTTAGGAACAATGAGTTATTTTACATTGCATTAAAATATTGGTTTCTTTATTTTGTTTAAATACCACATAAATTTAAAAAGAAGCTTGTGTATAGTTTCAAATTTGGGAGGACTTCTTCCTGAAGTTGCCAACAATGGCTGAAATGATGATGATCAATAATTTTATATTCATATAGTGGTTTATATTGCACTTATACCCATTACACTAAATTATAAAATAAGTATTTAAATTTAACAATAAATAATATAATGTCATTGACACAAGGAATTTAGAGTTTAATATAAGTATGCAATTTTTTGCTAGATTCTATCTTTGTATTATAACTTGTGATAATTGGTCTAAAATTGGGATGTTTCTAGGGGAACTTGACACTTGTTCATTACACCCTCCCCTTTCCCCTGTTTTGCATTTGTGTATTTGTGATCTGTTTTCTGTAAATTTTCCAGTGATCAAGCTTAATAATAAAAAAATAAATAAAATAATATATTTCAAGTAAAGCCCATGATATGAACGATGTTAAAAAATGAACACTTTTTAAAGAATGTCATTAAATTGACTGTAGAGCTATTTTATAGCTTATTTTCAATCCAAATAATACTACCCTCACTTTGATGAGAGAAATGTGCGGTAGGAAACGTTGCATAACATATTATAGTATGTAAGAAGCCATAGTGTAAAAATGGTTGTCTGTTGGACAGCCAGTGACCTATCTCAGAGCTGCCCCACTAGCACCACCCCTGGTTGTGAGAATAAATCTTGACTTTTTTTTAGGTAGGACCTTTACATTGGAGGACATGTGTCCTTGATTAAACCTCTAACCACTGTTTCGCTCAACACTATCATACTTTATAGAAATACACTATACAAAACATACCCACAGGTTCACTCTACACTGTGATAAATAAAGATATACGGTATTACTTTCAGGTATTACAAAACATTAATTACTATACGATTACTATAACGATATTTCCTATTGCTTTTTGTTTGAGAGAGCAGTCGTTGTTTGAATGCTAATTATGCCATAAAATAAGGTAGTGGATGTTTATTGAATCAGCCGTGGTATTGTTAATCAAATGCTGAGTTCTGTTCCTTTCATGGCCCACCATATTGATTTTTACGACATGTTTATCAATAAATATGCGATGGATGAAAGATCCAATTAGTTCTGCTCGACGCACAGAAATCTGAGATTTAAAACTCTGCGCCGGGCAATCTTTCCGTATCATAATGTCCCATCTTCATGCATAATTCACACATATCATCATCTCGTAGGCATTTGCAGACTGACAATTTTACATGTTCCGTAATGATATGATAATCATAATGATGCTACGAGCTTTGTGATTTTACAGTCACTTAAAACAATTACATTGAACTCTTAATAGTGTATGTACAGCCAGTGTAAATGCATGTCCCTTAGGATACTAAGGTTTTTGACTTTACATTATGCGCGACGGATAACAGATTATGATGAGCAGTACAGCATGAATTTTTAATAAATTATATGATCATCTTTTGAATAGAAGTGCAATTTTCAATTTTAATCCGATGACATTTTGATAACGAATGTTTTTCACCCCTTAAAGGGAGATTATGATTATCGGTTTGTTTACACTCTATTTTTGATCGATAATAAGATAAAATTCAGTAACAAAATAGATTAGTGTAATATAGTATAGCACTTCCCTGATTTGCTAGATAATTTATCAAATACATCTCATATGTATAGCGCCATCTGTAGTTTTGTCTCCTTTATTTGCATGTACGCTGTTTAACTACTGTTTAACAGTCCTGCTTGACTGTTGAAGGTGTAGCCAGCTGTGTTATTTCTGTACAGTTTACATAGGTACTTGATAATCGTGCTGCTAGCTATCTCAACAAATTTATAGACACACTAGAACAAATAGAAATATTTCTCTCATAAATTGTAATTGTCTGAATTAAAGAATTATTGGAGAATTAATCTATTTGTTTCAAATTAATAAATAATTATATGTCACTGGAAATACCAAACTTCTGACTATTGTTAACATAACCTCTGTTATGTTTGTACTTTTGTTTTATTAACTAATTTGTTTTTTGTTTTAAAGTGGTCCCTAATGGCTAAGAATGTATGTACCCTTTAAAGGGTCACTGATTAATAATTGTCTTTTGTTAATATTTATTATGCTTATCATAAATATTACTTATATATATATTAATTCATTTTCATTGGTATTATCAATTGTAGGCAAATAATTGCTATATACTATATAAATTATAATATGTCTGCTACTGTTACTTCTGCTGTAACTACTGCTGCTACTCTATTGCTATTGCCTCTATTGCTACTGTTGATGCTGCTGTTGTTGCTGCTACTGTTACTTCTGCTGTAACTACTGCTGCTACTCTATTGTTAATGCATCTATTGCTACTGTTGATGCTGCTGTTGTTGCTGCTGTTATTGCTGCTACTGTTACTTCTGCTGTAACTACTGCTGCTACTCTATTGATATTGCCTCTATTGCTACTCTTGATGCTGCTGTTGTTGCTGCTACTGTTACTTCTGCTGTAACTACTGCTACTCTATTGATATTGCCTCTATTGCTACTGTTGATGCTGCTGTTGTTGCTGCTACTGTTACTTCTGCTGTAACTACTGCTGCTACTCTATTGCTATTGCCTCTATTGCTACTGTTGATGCTGCTGTTGTTGCTGCTACTGTTACTTCTGCTGTAACTACTGCTGCTACTCTATTGATATTGCCTCTATTGCTACTGTTGATGCTGCTGTTGTTGCTGCTGTTATTGCTGCTACTGTTACTTCTGCTGTAACTACTGCTGCTACTCTATTGATATTGCCTCTATTGCTACTGTTGATGCTGCTGTTGTTGATGCTGTTATTGCTGCTACTGTTACTTCTGCTATAACTACTGCTGCTACTCTATTGCTATTGCCTCTATTGCTACTGTTGATGCTGCTGTTGTTGCTGCTGTTATTGTTGCTACTGTTGTTATTGCTGTTACTACTGTTCTTCCTTTAGCAGTTGTTTCTGCTGTGGATGTTGCTGATGCTACTGGTGTTGGTTGCTGCTGTTTCTGAGCTTCTGTTTCTGAGCTGCTGTTGCTGATTCTGCTGTTGTTTTTGTTTTTGCCTTTGCTGTTGTTGGTTTTGTTGTTGCCATGGCTGTTGTTGTTGATGCTACTACTATTATTGTTATTACTGTTGTTGCTATTATTGCTGTTGTTCCTTTGGTGGCTGTTGTCTCTGCTGCTGCTAATGTTGCTGATGATGCTTGAGTTGTTGCTACTGTTGTTGCCTCTGTCCCTGAGCTATTGTTGCTCTTGCGGCTGTTGTTCCTTTTGTGGCTGTTGTCTCAGCTGCTGCTAATGTTGCTGATGATGCTTGAGTTGTTGCTGTTGTTGCTTCGGTCATTGAGCTATTGTTTCTTTTGCTGCATTTTCTTCTTTATACCTCCATAATCATTGATCTTTTTTAATGAATTCAAATTATATAATCATCTCTTCTCTTGCTAGGGTTGGGCTACAGTGACTAAAAGAAAATTCTCAAGTGGTTTCCAATTCTGCCAGAACAACTTCCTGTCCATCAAAACATTACAGGTACAAAAACCAACTATCAAATTTATTTGAATAACGCCTCGGGGCATTTATTGTTGAGAGGGGGTTTTGAGGGGGAGTTTATTTGAGGGAGGCATTTATTTTTTTTGGGTGTAAAATGTATATGTTTATACTCAAATAAACAGGGTGTTTATTTGAGTATAAACATATCCATTTTACACCAAAAAAATTGCTTATTTTTGTGTGTGTGTATGTGTGTAAATGGTTTTGTATGCTAAAATAAACTCCCTTTAATTTCACTGTGCAATATACAGTACATTTTGTTTTATTAATTGTCAATTTTTTATTATATTTATTATTATATTTATTATGTACATATTGTAAATATAACAATAAAAACATGTACATACCAATTAAAAATCAATATTCAAGACATGTGTATTAACAAGGTGAATACAAATTGCCAATTATAAAAAATAGTATAGTATAGTAGTAGTAGTATAGTAATTAGTAGTATATTTCAGTGTCAGAACCATAAAAAAAAAATCTAATCAATAGCTTTTTTTATGTTTATGTTGCTTAGTCTAAGGTACCAATTACTTGACTAGGTTAGCATTAGGTTAATAAGCAATAGGCGTTAACAAGGTGAATACAAATTGCCAATTGTAAACAAATAAAATAAAAGAAACTAGTAGTATATTTTAATATCAAAACTATATTCTAATCAATAGCTTTTTAGTTGCTTAACCTAAGGTACACCAAGTTTAATTGGTTACTTGACTAGGTTAGCTTTAGGTTATAACAGGCTTTCATACAAGATATTCTTAGTCCTTGTTTTTAAATAGCTTTTGTTAAGTTGCTTAACCTGGGTAAACCAAGTTTAATTGGTTATTTAGCTAGGTTAGCTTCAGGTTATACATTGTAAGTATAAGCTTTAATACAAGATTTTGTTAGTCCTTGGTTTTTAAATTGATATGCGCATAAAAGCACTGTGCAATATGCGCTATGTGCCAAATATTTGTTATTGGTATTGCTGTTATCGTTGTTGCTGTTATTGTTATTATGTTTGTTGTATGTACATGACTGTAAATAAATTAATATTTAAAACAGACTTTTTATAAAGGAATGGAAATTAGCATTTTTCAGTCAAATTTACTGAACTGTTTATATCACCACATTACATTTTTTATATGACATAGGGATGTGATCTTGAACAAGCACCAAAGGGCGACCTCACTTAATATTTACCTCAGGACTTGCTTTTTTCTTTGTTTTCATTCGTAAACTTAAATTTTTATATTCTAGATTTTTTTTTTACCCTCCTTTGTAAAACCTTTCAAATGTAAAGTTCAGAACAAGGTATAAAATAAATCTCACCTAGGTTGAGGTTCTTATAGTCCATGTTGCCTCCCTGCATCCAGACTGCCAATGTGTTAATCTTTAGCTGAAGCATGCCTTATTCCCCCTGAGAGTTAAGGATGTGTTTCGAGGTGTTTATTCCAGTGGCTGGGGTAATGATGTGAAACATATTGAAATGTGGCATTATGGGATGTTAAGATAGCACTGTCGATAATATAGATGCCTAGTTAGCTTAGTTAATCTTATATATATGTTAAATTCGCTTGACTTAAAAATCCTTGATAGTTCTTATTCAATTAAGTTCACTGTTTGGCATACCCTTAGCCCTTGAGCCTAAAGCTGAATAAATTTAAATTATTTTATTATTGTTATTGTTGTCGAATGGTCGAGCAGTTAGCAGGGTGCCGCAAGCTGTAGCCATAATATCGGCGCTGGTTCGAACGGCACGCTCGCCTATGGTTTTGGTGGTAGAACAAGTCTTTTCGGATAAGGACTATAAACCGTAGGCCCAGTGTATACAATGGCTCGTGTGCACTATAAAGAACCCAGTACATCCTTCGAGACAAGTAGGGGGATACCCTGGTGTACTGGAACAGACAGCCCCTGTGGTGGACGACGAGAGTTGCTGGTACAGGGTTACTGGGTAGCACAGACACAAAGGGACCCTTAGGGGTAAAGAAAGTCATTGATCGAGTTTCTAGTCCACATATCAAGCGCCCTGAGCATCTTATATGAGATGGATATGTGTGCTATATAAAACTACACTATCATTATTATTATTATTATTATTTATTATTATTATTATTATTATTATTATTATTATTATTATTATTATTGTTATTGTTGGTTTTGGTTTTTTTAATTATCACATTTATTATTATTATTATTATTATTATTATTATTATTATTGTTAGTTTTAATATACTATTGATTTTGTTGAATTTATAGTTAATATCATTATCTGCATTATCTTCATCAATATTTTTAATACAGTATTCATATTACTGTAGTGTTTTAATGTCAATATTGTTAATTGCTTAAAGGTTTGCATGGCGAAGAAATAATATATATGTTGAATCTTGCGGTACACCACGTAAGTAGCTACTTACGTGGTGTACTGCAAGCTTCAACATATAATATTGTTAATATTACAAGGCGAGCAAACTAAATAACATAATTAAACTTCCGGTACGCTATGTGTAGATATGGTTTTGTGAAAAACCTTTTGTTTTTGTTGTGTTGGCATTTCAGTGAGATTATTCAAACTGTTATCAAGAGAATCACGTCCCACTCCTAATGACGGTAAGAGTAATCTCACCAGAACGAAAAACAAAAGGTTTTTTTTTTTTTAATGATACAGGTATATACATGTGGTGTAAATGATGCATAATTGTATTATTGTTAAAAACCGAAAGGTCCACTGATTAATCTCAGATAAGACAGTATAATACATACTCCAAGTATCATGATGATGATGACATAATTAATATCAAAATATCCTGACACGATGGCGTGTATTTCGATACTTGGAGTATGTATTATACTATCTGTATTATTATTGTTATTGTAATTATTAATATTATTACTGATAATATTAATAATAATTAAATTGTAATAATAATAAATAATATCGGAATTGAACCATAATTTCTGGTTTAACTGAAGAAAATGTATTATTATTATATTATTATTATTATTATTATTATTATTATTATTATTATTATTATTATTGTTGTTGTGTTGGCGTTTCAGTGAGATTACTCAGACTGTTATCAAGAGAATCACATCCAACTCCTCATTATTGTTATTTTTATTATTATTATTATTATTATTATTATTATTATTATTATTATTATTATTATTATTTTTATTATTATCATTATTATTTTAATATTAATATTATTGGTATTAAAAAAATACTTATTATTTTTGTTATTGTTGTTATTGACTGTTATCAAGAGAATCACATCCAACTCCTCATTATTGTTATTTTTATTATTATTATTATTATTATTATTATTATTATTATTATTATTATTATTATTATTATTATTATTATTATTATTTTTATTATTATCATTATTATTTTAATATTAATATTATTGGTATTAAAAAAATACTTATTATTTTTGTTATTGTTGTTATTATTTTAATTTACTAGTAACTTACTAGTATTTTTCTTATACAAATACAGTTGCATAATTCTGGTGTGGTTTAAGGCCTATGTTAATACTATTTATATTAAAATTTAACTCCAGTTCACATTTTAAAATAGTTACACATTATTTCAAATCCAAATAATGATAATGATACATTCAATAATCAGATGTGCGATAATTTTCAAAATGTCACATTGACAAAAAAGCTTTATCAGTACATTAACAAACGAGAGGTTGAATAAAGGTGGTTGTAAGGATAGATTTGACCTCTGAATGAAGCAAGAGTTCACTTAGCAGAATAGATGAGGCATTTACAAAATTCTCCTCCTTTCTTACGGAGGTGTGACTTGGAACTCTCCCCTGGGGAAGGGGGGGTGGATTAAGTGCGTGTATTACTGCATTGTACAAATGAGGGTGGAAAATAAATCAAATCAGAACCTCTCACGCATCCCATCAATTGGACTTGGTCAAGACCAAAGACAAAACAACTTAACTATTTTTATATCCCATATTAAGACTATCTTCACAAGTCAAAGGCCGCTGATTACTGCTGATTTAATTTCTTTTCTCCAATAAGTTAAATTAGGGAACGCAATTTAGTGAACTACATTATCTTATCTTGTGTAATATTTTGTTTCTCATGTAAATTTGCCGAGTTTCAAATTCAGTAATTGGCACTCAAATAGTGCAAGGTATACAGTAGTTCTAAGGGAAAAAATGAATTATTAATAATGAGAAGGGCAAACAATAACAAAATGTAAAGAAAAACCTTTTAACAATCAAACAACATTTGTTATGCATATCATAACAGAGAAAGGGAAAAAGGTGATTAAAATTTAAGGTAAAATGAGAAGTTATATTAAGATTGCAAAAAAACAAATATGTTAAAGATGTATTGTCCTTTGAAAATGACAAAAAATCATAAAAAATAATTTTGAAATTAACTTGAGCATGGAAATTATTGAAGTTCAACAATGTGTACCCTGATTTTTAAGCTGGATAATTATAATAAAAATACTAAAACACTTCTAGTGGTGGAAGTGTTTCTATCATTTTTTGCTGTAAAATTTCCATGTTCAAGTATATAATTGTTAAGTTACTTCAAATTGGGCAAGTTAGTTTAAAAAATGATTTTTTTAAAACTTTTTTTTTGTATTTTGCATGGGAAAATACATTTTTAACATTCCACAGTTAATATGATGTGTTTGCACAGTTAATATACAAATATTAACTGTGTAATGGAAAATATTGCAAATGTCACTGTGTTCTTTCCATGCAATAATTCACAATATATATTAAAGATTTTACTTGCCATTTCAGAAATATGTAAAATGCCTAAATATGGTCATAATGACACCACCTCATTGCCATATATAGGCACATCATGACCATATATGGGCATAAAGCAGTTTTTTGTCAAATAAAATTTTATACTGTGGACAGAATTTATAGAAATATTTATCAGTTTTTTCAAATTAATAATAAAGCACAGGAAGCATGCGCTGTGAACTTGCGCACATCACATACACCTGGTGTCTTTAAAGTGATTATTAGTCAATCTTTAAATGAAATATGTGAAACAATCAATCAATCATTCACTTTTCTAGATGTTGGCATCAATGAAGCATCAATTTGCAGAGCTGCTCAGTGATATTGGATTTATCAGTGAGAAACTGAGTGCGAAAAGAATGGACAGAATGGCTGGAGGAGGAAGCGACGTCGTGGCAATGTCCATTGCGCCTGAGGTAATTTGATGCCTTCCTTCAACTCTACCTCAATTGCTTTTCTTTGCGTCGTTGTTACATCTCGATCTTTCTTCTTCTAAAAAAAATTCTATCAGGGAGGTTGTAAAGATCTTTTGGTTAATATCTGGTGGGGTATGCAGGTCACTTAGTCCGTACCCCATGATGCATAGTTAGGCTTAGAGTAGGGGTATGGCAGGGGCGGATCCAGAGATGTGGGAGGACATTAGTGGAGTAACGTCCCTAGCCCAGGAAACATAGTTTGATTAGGGTTGGGATATTTTTGTCATTAGGACCTTAGTGGAGTAAGGTCCCTACCCCAGGATGCCTAGTTTGGTTGGGGTATGTGGGTCATTAAGACCAGGGACGTAGCCAGGATTTTGAAAGGGGGGAAGCTGTTATGCAAATTACGTAGGACCCCGGCGGGGTCAAGGAGGCGAATCCCCCTGTGAAGTAGCGCACTCTGAACGTTCTTAGGACTGTTTGAGAGGATAAATTGAAAATTACAATAGAGGCATTATAAATAAGCGCAAAAATAATTATATAATAAATCAACAGTGGCAGATCCAGGAATTCGAAAGAGAGGTGAACCAGGGAGGGACTTTCACAAACCGAGTAACCACCCACCTTAGCCCCACCATGGTTGGGGCTGAGGTAAGAAAATTTATTACTAGGGCATCTCTAGATGGCCGGAAATTACACTCTCGCACTTCAATTTGAATATATTTTTCTTCTTTATTTTTCCTTAAAAAATGAAGGGGGGGGGTGGCCTTAAATCCACCTCTGCTCAAAACATTCTTTATCCACTGCCAGAATAGTCATAATCACGAAAAATGGACATGAAAAACCAGATCACATCCTAAAAACAAACAGCAGTCACTAAGACATACATCAGGAGCCGATTCGATGGAGTTCAACGTCATACCCAGGGAAGGGCACAGACCTGTTTTGAAAGGTAGAGGGGGAGGGCATTTTTTGAGTCGACACCCACCTCAGCCCCACAATGGTTGGAGCTGAGGTGAGAAAATAGTACCTCTAGATGGCCAGAAATGATACTTTTAGTAAAATTCATCATCATCACATCACCATTAGTCAAAATGAAGTGCCAAAAAAAATTCTCATGATCTTTTATCAGGGATTTTTGACAACCATATAGATCTCATTAATGTGTGTGTGTATACCATAGAAAACAAAGCTTAAAAACATTGTCTTTGAGTATGTACGTTACATAGGCCTACTTCAAAAACGTGATTTCACAACCACCTCAGCCCCACCATGGCTGGGGCTGAGGTGAGAAAATTTGAGGAAATGGTACCTCTCGAGGTGGCCGGAAATGACACTTTTACATAGTAAAATTCATCATCATCACATTACCATTATAGTCAAAATGAAACGCCAACAAATTTCTCATGATCTTTTATCAGGGATCTACTTAATATCCAGGATAACTTAGGCCTAATTATAGCTTACTAAGCTTTAACTATATATACTATAGTGTGATCAACAAATCACAACTTTTTTTTTCGCATTTAGCACAGTTTTCTTCACTTTTTATTGCTATTAATATTATAATCAGTTATTACTCTCATCATCATCATCATTGTTATTATTATCATTATTACTATTAGTAGTAGTATTATTAAACAAACATTAAAAGAAACTTACAAAAGGATAAAAATGAAATTGAACCACAGTATCGCATTTCTATCTTAAAAGACCTGGCCTGAGATTTATGGATTTAAGCTTAGGCCTATGTGTTCTATTAGGTCTATGTATAACGTGTACTGATGCATATTTACATGTTTAGAAGTATTCATTTTGAGTGATCCCAGGAAAGAATTTGTATTGGCTCAAGAATAAGCTTTAAAATTTTAACACTGTGTACGTATTCAGGGGGGGAGCCGCGGCTCCCCCCCTGAATACGTCCCTGATTAAGACCTTAGTGCGGTAACATCCCTACCATCGGCAGTGCCGGAAATTTGCTGACAAGGGGTCCGATGTGTCTGAAGGAAGGGTCTGAACCAAGGCGACAACGAAGCCCCTGTCGATGTCTCCATCGATGTCTCGGAATTTAAAAAATCCCTGTTAAGGTTCATGGGGAGAGTTTTTATGGCTTAAGTTGGTCCTAGATGTGCTTTTATTTCATTTCATTTATTTATTCCGGAAAACACATAGAAATACAAAATCAGAGAAAAGCCACATGCTCGCCCGGAGGAAACCAATAGCGAACAGAATTCACTTTCAAGGGAAATCCTAACGAACAAGTGTCAGCAATAAAAACAGAAACATATAAATAGCAATATAAAAACAATAACGATAATGTATTAATAATAATAATAATAATACCAATAATAAAACATTAGAAAGCACATCAAATTCAAGTTAGTCCAGAATGTAAAGATGATTTTTAAGTTTAGTTGAAAATTGATTTAAACTAAAAACACCCTCATTTTGAACATCAACAGGTAAGTTATCCCACACCCGAGGAAAACGAATAAAAGTAGAGTGAAAACAACTATTTTTTCTAGCACGATAATGAATAAATTTCAATTGATCAAGATTCCTAACACGGGGCTGAGGTAAAATGGATTGCTCAATATAGATCACCATTTAGACAATAAAAAGAGAAACATATAAATAGCAATATAAAAACAATAACGATAATGGTATTAATAATAAAAATAATAATACCAATAATAAAACATTAGAAAGCACATCAAATTCAAGTTAGTCCAGGCTGTAAAGATGATTTTTAAGTTTAGTTGAAAATTGATTTAAACTAAAAACACCCTCATTTTGAACATCAACAGGTAAGTTATCCCACACCCGAGGAAAACGAATAAAAGTAGAGTGAAAACAACTATTTTTTCTAGCACGATAATGAATAAATTTCAATTGATCAAGATTCCTAACACGGGGCTGAGGTAAAATGGATTGCTCAATACAGATCACCATTTAGACCACAATATTAGGGATTTTAAATTAAAATAGCGTTATTTCGATAGGTGAATTACTTTTTTTATAAATTTTCAGCCTGACGACCTAGTTATTTGTCGGACGACAGCAGGGTCCAGGCCTGTCAGACAGGGCTGGCGCCACCACTAATCCCTATCCAACTACGTCATACGACCGTCGTACAAGCTATGTGTCCCTGGCTTTAAGCAACATAATACGATTTTATGTCAGTTTAGTTTAGACGTCCATTGTATGTACCCCTTTCTACCAAGGGGTATTTATAAATTGGAAAACTTGTAAATTAGATCGGTGTCACAGTTTCCACCACTTAGGCCTACTAGCTATCCTCTGCCATTGAGTACCGATAGGTTGACAGTGGCCAGGCCTAGCATGGTCTCCCGTTTTACAAAATATTGTAATTCTTATTAAAATATATGTATATTTTATGGACCTATTTATCATGTTCTTTCTAGTTTTTAGAATATACTATGTCAAGCTAAAACCTTTAAAGTTACCATTTAAGGATGTTCTTGTTAGTTAAACTTAATTTTTTTTTTATATATATGTAAATCGGAGAAAACCTATTTGTTTCATAACATGTATCATTAATTATTTGATTGTTTTACTCGAGCTATTCAGTGTTTTAATTGAACTTCTGTGATTGTTTTTACCAGATTTAATGTCAGACAGCATATATTTAATGTATATTTAATATTTTAATATCTTCTGTATGTTTCTTCATTTTATTTGACCGCAAAATATATTGATTGGGCATTTGTAATTGATAACCCATGTGTGCTTGTAGTAAATTTAGATTGAACTTAGATTCATCTTCATTGCACCCATCGGTTATGACAAAAATAGACGCACACACATGTTTGAGTAGAAGGTATTTTTAACAATAACAGTTAATGTGCTTTATAATCTGCAACCATTACTCTATCATACATACACATGTAGAATTGAAGATTTGAATGAAAATAAACTATGTTGTTTCTTTATTTTATGTGATTTATTATTGATTTGTTTGTATATATATATTTTAAGTTCATTTTATTTCTTTCTAAGTACAAAATGAAAAAAAATACTAATATACCACATTACCACAAGACGGTTTAGAGTTTATCTCTATATCGTTATTTATGTGAATTTAAATGTATACATATATGCAATATACTGTATACATGTATAATCTTGCAGATTCATACCTGTCTCTTATACACATCTAGATGTGTATAAGAGACAGGATATATTCTTGGCAATAGGTGAGGAGTAATAATTTCATTATCATTTATATATTCGGTTTCTGAAGTCTATACATGGTATTCGTTTCCTATATTCTTATGTTATCGTACCGAAACACATGTGGAACCTCACAATGTTATATATATATATATGTATACAGTATATATATATATATATAAACATTGTAAAATAAAATAAGCTAATAAAAGATAAATAATAGATAGTAAAAATGTCATTAGGTCATACTAAGATATTTATATATATATATATATACAATATACTAAGATATATGCCCACTACTTAACAGTTTGTTAAACTGTATTTGACATATTTTTTTTTTTTGTTTGACATAGTTTTTATTCATCTCACATGTTTTATTTTATTGTCATTGTATTTGTAAATGTTGGTCAAATAAATAAATGAAATGAAATATTTACACAAACAATATTTTTTAGGTTAGGTCAGTTCATTGGGTTTTATTCAAATTTTTGAGCTCACTTTATTTCTCGAAAACCTCCATATTGAAATCCTATTCTGTTTTTTGTATTAGATTAGGCTCAACAAAGGGTAGATACTGTAGTGTTTATTCTCTTGTGAGCGTGCCACAAATGGCTACTTGTCTTGTCCATCTTCACAGCCTCGTACAGGTGTAAATTGGGGGTGAGAGAATCGCCGAGGCAAGGTCACGTAACCATCAATATCTCATCCTCAAAGCGGCTGGCAGCTGTAACTCCAGATTTCATTAAATGCTGCTCACTCCTTAACACCTGTTGTTACCATGGCAACTGCATTCTGATTGTTGTTCGGCATCAACTATTGATCTTGATTCAGTTTGCAGTTCCCATGGGAACCGAGATAATCTAACTGTCTGTTTATCCTGTGGACTCTATTGATTGGCATCCTGTTGAAGTTCCCGGTGGGATCCTTCATTTCTAAACCTTGTGCATTTCTCCATCAATAAATTTGTTGGTGTATCCGGTTGTGTACTTCTGTAGGGAATCGTTTCATGAAAGATTTGATTCATCTCCCTTATTGTTTGCTAACATCAGAAGGAGAAAAAAAATCCCAACGATATTTTACTCTTCAACATGAACACATATTGAAACATTACAGTGAAATCAATAGATATGTTAGTGTATGAGGGTTTTTTTTTTTATCTCTGTAGAGAGATAAAAGATATGATTCATCTGTTTTATTGTCTGCTAATATTAGAATGATAAAGCAGTGATATTTAAATGTACAGTATGAACCCATAACTAAACGTTATAGTGCCATTTAAAAAATTGCTGGTGTATCCGGTTGTGTCCTACCATAGAGATTTGTTCCATGAAAGGTTTACTTCATCTTTGATTGTCTGCTAACATTAAAAAAAAACAATAATATTTATCCCTACAGCATGAGCCCATATACATTAGAGTATCATCAATAAATTTGTTCGTGTATCCGGTTGTTTTCTTCCATAGGGAATAATTCCATAAAACATTTAATTCATCTCTTTATTGTCTCGTAACATTTGAAGGGAAAAGCAATGATATTTAATCTCACAGGATGAACCCATTAAACTTTACAGTGTCATTTACAAATTTGCTGGTGTATCCGGTTATGTACTTCCATATGGATCCATTCCATGAAAGATTTACTTCTGTCTGCTAACATTAATAAATAATGAATGATCCCAATATCACGACCCATATTTAAATATTAGTGTCATCTATAAATTTGTTGATGTATCCGGTTGATTACCTCTATAGGGAATCATTCCATAAAAGGTTTTATTTTATTCATCCCTTTAATGTCTTGTAACATTAGGAAGGAAAAGCAATGAACAAACCCATAACTAAACATTTTACAGTGTCATTAATACACTTGCTGTTGTACCTGTTTTTGTACATCTGATTCTTTCCATGAAATATTTGACTTATGGGTTATGTTCCTTATTGTGTAACATTAGAAGGAAAAAACAATGATATTTAACACTACAGGTTGAACCCTTAACTAAACATTACAGTGTCTTCTAATATTATATTTATCTGTTTGTTTATTTATTTCAATTATACTTATAATATTATATTAATAAAAGTATTAAAGACTTTCCTAGTGCACATCTCCACCCAAAAATTTTGATCTCTAGGAACAGTGTAATGTCTTTTTTTATCACCGCAAATACTTGAATAAGCGCTGTGGAGGCTTCATGCATCGCTTATTCAAGAGCAGTGTGTATTTGAGAGCAGTGCTTATAGAAAAATATTGCCGTTGCACTTTCCATGACAGTTCCCATGTTACCTATCCCACATATTCTCATAGTTCGGTTCTCATAGGTCCTACATCATCGTAAATAAACGTCTATAAAGAAATGCATGTGCCTTCACTGTGTTATTTATTCATATTAACACTGTATAAATCATATTTAAAACCCTGTTTCTCAAAGTTTTTCATTACACACGGTAATATATACTGTCGATTAAATGCTGCAGCGCTTAGAGAAAAAAAATTGCGTATTTGAGTGCGGGGCTTATTGAGCATTTACGGTATTTACTTTTTTATTTCATCATTCCATTCGTTTGTTCTTGTCTCAGCTTTTTCTTTTCTATTTCATCTGATCATATCAGTGCGTATCTGTCTTTTATTTATCTTTCTTTTGATCTTTTCATGTACGGTATTTTCCTTTTATGCTAAACTTTTAATTTTCTTTCTTTTCCCCTTATCTCTGCTTTTCATTTTCTTTCTTTTCATTTTTTCTTTTTTCATTCGTATGCATCTTTTCTTTTTCTTTTTTGTTTCAATTCCTTTCTATAAAGTCGACCATCCACCAACTGCTGAATACATGCAATATAATCACAAAACACATCTTTATATCCAAAACTTATATTAAATAAACAAAAGCAAAAAGAATTTAATTCTATTTACTGTAATTGTTTATTATCTGCGACATTAACATTTTTTTCATGATGATCAGTAGTTCGAACCAAGCCCCCAGCATTCTGAACTTTGACTTCTCTTTCCCTTCTAGGCTAACATCAATGCAGCTAATCACAAGTTAGTGATTGCTGTTCTCTGTGCTGCACTTTACCCAAATATAGTGCAAGTAATGACACTGGAGTCTAAGTATAGCCATACAAAGGCTGGAAGTATTCCTCTGGCTCCGAAAGCAGACGAGATTAGGCTAAAGACCCAGCAGGATGGATACGTAAGTTGATTTTCATTATTCGTGTTGATTTCTGGGAACACGTTTTGGAAAATATTTATGTAATGGAGAAAGTGGTATGGTATTACGGTAATGATGATGATAATGATGGTGGTGGTGATGATGATGACTATCATGGTGACGATCATGGCAACAAAGCTTGTGACGATGATGTCGGCTACATTGAGGACGATAACGATGTTACAATGACAGAGATGGTTGTGACAAAGAGGTTGATAATGGGGATGAACAGCGTGATTTTGATAAAGAGATGATGATAATAAAGATATGATAATGATGTGCTAGTGAAGTTGACAGTGATAAGGATGATGAAAATGATTGTAGCGATGATGAAAATGATGATGATGTTTGCTAATTATACCGGTAATTTCCAAAATCATTTTCTGATATGTGATTCCGATTCTGTAGAAAATTAACTCTTCTGCAAATCAGCTGAGATGTAGCCTATCACATTGCATTTAATACATTTATACATTTGTTGATTGTAAACGATGTTTCGTGGGAGAGAGCTTTTTGTTGTGTAATCAGTTTGTAGACATGTGTTTCATGGAAATTGGTACCATGTACTATTTATTTATTCAGGTATAATTTATTTATTCAGGTATAAAAATAATACAAAAAGTAGCCAAAGGCTAAAATTATTGCATTTACAAAAATATAAAGGCCTTAATTACAAATAATGAAATTACACAAAAACATTAAAATATGCATTTACAAATTAAGAATGAATATTTACAAACTACATAAAAGATTACATTAAATATATAAAAATATAAATAAAAATAAAAATTCTAATTCTGAAAAATCAACAATTTGATATGTTCAACAAAAATACTTGAAAACTATTTTACAATATTTTAATTGCTTTGTTTATTATTTAAATTAGTTAATAGCTTTCAATTGACATGGTATAAATAGTACTGTTTCTATTTTTATTTAAAAAAATTTATTTCACCAAAATCCAACAGCGACAAAGGTCGGCCATAATAGGATGTGACATAAAGGCTTACATAACCTTATTTTTTTGCGAAGACCCTGAAATTTGCTGGTAATCAATTAAAAGGAATGTTAGCAAAATATTATTTTTAAAATCTCTCTCTCATTAGTAGTTCATTATTTATTCCACCTTTTTATTAAAACAATTCAATATTTTACAATTTTTTTAAAGAGATTTTTCAGATATAACCACCAGTATCATTAGCATAAAATGTTAACATACATTATTCAAATAAGGTATAGACATACATGGTTTACAGTCTATGTGTTTTTATAAAGCCTGGAATTACATATAGAGCCTATTTCCAGGGGAGCATGATTATTACAGCGATGTTTTTGTTAAAAATAACAATCTCGATATCGTCCGTTGCCTTCCTGATCCAATTCATATTTGTATTCATTCATATTTCTGCTTTTATTGCCGGTAATTGACAGTAATTTGTCTTTTGGTTCGGATTTAAATTCACAGGGGAATTTGTATTTGAAATTGGCAGTGAAGAATTTAACTAGTTTTAGTGAACGTAGAATTTAACCATTTGCATTAAAAATCTGAAATGTTAACACTGTAAAAAGCAGTGGCAACTGTAAGGGCCAATTCCCTACTTGTTCCCAAAACTGTTTGCAAAGTGCAGGGGGAAATTTTATGCACATGGAATCAACTTAACGTTCTAAACAACCTTTAGCCTCATCTGTACACATTAATGTGCTGTCATAGCAACCACTATTGATGTAGCTATATAAGAGGACATTAATGTTTCTAAAACAAATCAAGATTCATTTGCCAATTATGAAATTAATTTAGTCAATTATTTATAGATGATGTTTAGTGTATTATGAACCCATCCTGTAATCATTAATTTAATTTTTTTTTTTCTGACACATTAAATATGTTGCAATAATTTTTTCAGAGAGTAAAGTTGGAATAGTTAACATATAAATGTTCATCGGTCCTTAGTTGGTCTGTGCGACAGTACATTAAAACCTGTTATTATCAAAGTCAATCAAAATAAAATCAAGTTAATAAACTGACTGTTTTGCCGACAAATTTGTCCATGACTTATCCTGAGCGATTGCCTGATACAACACTACTTTCATGATTGGTAGGTGTCATTGAAAGCAGTCTTGCACAAAACGTCATCATGTCAAACATGCATAGGTTACGCTGAATGGTGATGGCAGCACAGTCAACCATTGAGAAGAGAGCTCCGGTGTACTGGTACTCCTGGCCCATTGGCATTGTAGAATCTACCTTACTATGTTTTATATAGTTCATCGTATTGTGGCTTATCTAGGGATTGCACGTGCCTGCCCCTAAAACAGCTTGCTCTAAACAGCTTGCCCCTAAAACATTAAATATCACCTCATATCACCTTATTTTGCCAACTAGCACCCCTTTCTTTCAATTAATTATCAAGCATTCGACTTCGCGCCCGTCCCCAACCCGGTCCTGTATCGAAGAATTTAAAAACACAAAAGCACATCTCAAATGGAACGAAAGTTTATTTTGACAATAAATAGTGTATCGTATCCTAATGTTGCAGCTACCTAGTATTAAGATTGGCCTTTGAGCCTAACAAGTTCCCACTTACACTCATGGTGAAGAAAGACAACCATAGGTAAAGTGCCTTTCCCAAGGCAAAAGCGAACTCACAGCATGGGTTTGAACCCCCGACATCGTAGGTTGACTGCTTGAATCACAACCGCTGCACTCACTGAATAAAGCAAAATAACTTGTATGATTTTGTCTCATCGGTGAGGAGTTGGTTCTAGGAAGGCTTCGAATCACATGTTATTTGTTTTTCAAAGGTTAAAGGTTATAGGTTATACATTTATATTGTTTCAAGACTAATTTGTCTAATTGTATATATCATCTGAAGCTTGATTCTGGACAGAACATCGTGCCAAGCTCTGCTGTCTGCAGTAGGTCTGCCAAAGTCCTCAAATGATAATCTTATGTCCCTTTAAATTGTACATCAGACAGTTATATATTCACTATTGGCAATTCTTGACCTATGTGCCTACATTATATTAATCAATGCAATCTAGTTGCATTTCTAAACAAGTCTCATTTTATGAGGCAGCTTCGTGGGCGGATTTCGGAAATAGAGACACAAGGGACAGAATGCTAGGATTTTGAAAACTGAAGCACAAGAGGGGGTGGGACTGTTGCCATTGGCGATGTGCTGCTGTTATTAAAAAATAAAGCTGCCCATACACCATACAGTACTAAAAACATATACCACACATCTTCACCCACATATTGGGGTCACATGGATGGCTACTCCCAGTAGCAAGAGAAGTAAGGGTTACAATTTTTTTGCGTAGTTCTGAATTAGAATCAGCACTGTCAGTCAATGTTTTAACCGCCATAAGCATAGATACTTTATAAATTCACATATTATTGTTAATAGCAGACAGATGAACACACGATGAACTTCTCAAAGTTTAAAAGTTTAACCACCCACCATGCTTATTTAAGGAGCATGTAGAAACGCAGCACGTAATGACATTGGGCTTTCAGTTCGAAGGTTGGGGCTTCAAGGCTGATGATCGTCAACACTGTTTGTGTTCTTGGGCAAGACACTGTATCTGTATTTGCCACTCTTCACCCACGTGTATAAATGGGCACCTAGGAGGAAGTAAATGATTCGGAATGAAATTAATAGTGCCGATACATCGTAGGCTTAGCCAGCGAGCCGTCCGGCCTTATTTAGGATGGCCACTTTTACCGTGACGGCTTGGACGGTTTGTCCTAATCAGCTCATCCTAGCCTAATTGGGCCTGGTCTACCTTTATCAAATTCTTTATATTCAAATCTATCAAATGTTACAATAAACTAAAGCTAAATCATATTTACGTTTGATAAAAACAACATTTATCGATTGAATGTACGTTGTTTTCGTATCAATATTTGGTAGGGATTCCCAAAGTGCCACGCCCACTGGCTTCCATTTTGGACGGCCTATTTGGTTTTTATGGCTAAACCCCTGCGATACATGCATAACTATGAATACTCCCCAGGGACCACAGGGGGTTACACGTTGTGTGTGATTGATTCTGTATTTAGTGACCAGAGATGTGCCTAGAGCAGTTCTTCTATATGTGTGCTGAATAATATAAAAAAATAATAAAAACAATAAGAAACGGTATTATATTTCTAGGGCAAACTTTTTTTTTCTTGCTACTTGTTCCATATCAGCTGATAATTACTTTTGTGTTACCATACAGTAAGTGCTATATATACATTAGTACAAAAGCATAAAATAAAAACATTCCTTTTGTTGATATTTCTTGGCAGGTAAGCATCCATCCTTCTTCTGTTAACTACCAAGTCGGCCATTTTGAAAGTCCATATCTCATTTATCACGAAAAGATCAAAACCTCAAAGGTACGTAATATTGACTAATGTAAATTCATGTTCTTTTGTCTCCTCCAAATGTTAATTTTGTTGATATTGGTTTTTTTTACTTGTGTATATGAGCTCTCTTGAAGTAAATGACCATAGTTAATTTAAGGAATAGGATTAGTTTTTAGGACGTGGATTACTTGTTTTTTTATTTTTTATTTGTTGTTTATAAAGCTCTGTCCTCGTTATCAAATGTTAACTAGAGAGAGCAGCAGTGGTGGCGCCAGTTTTGTCGGGGAACAAACAAATAAAAAAAAAATATTTACATGTAATATTCGTTTAGCCACCATACTGTTTGTGTTAATTTTTCATCACAACAACAATAACAATAATAATAATAATAATAATAATAATAATAATAATAATAATAATAATAATTCAATGAGACTAATTAAAAATAATTTGCATTCTGTTATGACAAATGCTCATTTAGCCTCATGATGGTTGGAATACATCGTGATAGGTGAAGCAACCTCGACCATGACAACGTGGTTGATAGATTTTATGCAAAATTTCCAAAAATTATAGAATTTCACTTTCAAGAATGAGGATTTGAAAATAAATTAGATGGTTACATTGCATACTCTTCGTTTCTTACTTTATTCAAAATGTTTTGGTTTTGGAAGCTGATTTCAACATTAGAAAGCATAGCCTACATGAAGTCATATTATAGTAACTCGATGCCTATCAAATAAGTAATAAAAAATCGC